GAACTGGTATTTCTTTGTTTGTTTATGCTTGTAAATTTTGAAGCAAATTGCTGTGCTTGCAATTTGCTTCAAAACCATAATAATCTGTGGGTTATCTTCAACTTGGTGAGTTGGTTTCCCTGTCCTGGCACATCTATTTTAACATAAACTTGCCAGGCATGGATCCTGTTATCCATGGTCCTAGTTATCCATTACACTGGCATAACCATTTGTATCAATACCTAAGCAGATCTTATATTGGCCAAATCATCATTTTTGATGCACCATGAATATTTGTTTTTCTAGTATCGTTTTTGTCTGTATATGATACTTACTGTTCAAAAAAAGTTATCCAGTTTCCAACATCAGAAGCTTTTTTGCGACCAGACTGTGTCATAGTGACTTAAGGAGGTTAACCCAAAGGATAACCAATCTCTCACTTGTCTTCTAAATCTGTAAAATCTTAGTCTGGAATATTATTATGAACTACATTCCATCCAAAGAAAAATCAGTTTGGAGATTTGGCTGGCATGTCTACTTATGGTATGGAAAAGTTAAGGCTAATAAAGATTTTAATAGATATCCCATAAGAGATAGCCTATTAGTGATGTGGAATAAATACAAAAAAGGGATGGAGTAAAAAGATTCCTTATACGGCTGGGTCCTTGTATGTTAAAACCAACATATATTGAGGAATTGATAACTTACGGGTAATATCTAATTGAAGAAAAAGTCCCCTCTAACTCTAGGATTTTATGAAAATGTAGAATTGGTTAATATTGGTTTCTTCTATTGGTTAATATGAGAGACATTCCATATTGTGTCTTTTTAAAAATGTTTTTGTCATTTTTTTAAAAAAACCCATAAATCAGTAGTTTATAAATATTTCTGAAAGTTGGGGGGGATGTCCCCCCATTACCTAGTGTCATTGTATAGAAAATTCAAGGAGATCGTTCTCTCTTTTAAAAAAAGTTTTTATAAAAAAAATTAAAATTCCTTAAAAGTCAGTAGATCAGCAAAAGTTTTGAAATTTCATGCGCTAAGAGTAAGGAATGTGTCCTACCACTTTAGCAAGTTTCATCATGATAGCTCTAGAAATGAGGGAGAGAGAAGCCTCTGACGTTTCCACACTGTCTTGTTAGAGTAACAAAATTGACTTCCGGTAGCGGTAGAGATGGCGGACGCCACGGTTTGCTGAAGCTCCACAGCTTTCGGCAAACCTCCTTCCACACAAGCCCTTGGTAGAGCAGGGTAGAGCGGGGTGTTACCCCCCCCCCCCAGCTCCCCCAGCTCCCCCCAACCCGGCAGCTAGAAGCAGGCGAGTGCTAATAACTTGTCCGGGTCAAATCCTAAGCAACAGCATGCAAAGGGGGAGATCCCAACCCGATTTGACCCATAGGATAGTTGTGCAGGGCGTGGTAAGGTTAACTGGCCAAAAGCCGGGAAGAGGACGCTGACCGCTATTTTAAACTTAAGAAGAAAGAAGAAAGATAGAGAGAGGAGAAGAAAGGAAACCCAGGGTGGGTAAGAAAGCTACAAGTACCCTTTTCTTGGATTTTTAATTGGCTAATAAACCATTGGCTATCCGGATTTAAATCTACATCTGAGTGGACTTAAATGGACTTAAGTATATACGTATGTAACTGAAGGAGAAATGCAACGCAACTGTTCGATCTGCTCCTGACATGATAAATAAATAAAATTTTGGCAATAATCCAGTGAAAAAAGGACCATTTTGGAATGGCACTTCAAACAATGAGCAACTGCCATGACACACGTTATGTCACAGCCACTGATTGTCACAATGAATAGAACAGGAGGGTAGGAAAGGTGATTGTTTGATAGTGCCAGGGCTGCAGCCAAGGGGTGGGGGGTGGGGTTAGGGGTTCAACCCTCCCCCCCAAAAAAGATTTCAGGTAAAATCTGGTTTACTTATTAATTTAACTGGTTAACCAAATCCCAATGCTATGTCTATGAGAAGCAAAAATTAAATGAGTCCCTCCAGAACCGCAAGCACTATTTAAAGCAAATTTTGACAATTTATTCACACTGTCATTACTTGCAGCAATCTATATCTATAAATTTGTTAGGGGCGTCCAACGTAACAGCAAAACTCTAAAAAACCCCAACGAAACTGAACCAAAATTGCCATGCCCCTAGGACAACCCACTAGGTACAAACTAATCCACACCAAATTAAAAACAACACAACAACACACAGATAAAATGGCAAAACAACTGAGCATGCGCACTGGCGCAAAGGCCCCGGCGCGCGCGCACATGGCCGAACGGGCAACGCACCCTCCGCACTTCCCTCCCTCCCTTCTGGCCGCGCTCCGCTCCCGAGACGGATGGCCCTCCCTCGCCCCGCCCAGAACGAACACGTCACCACAAGCACGCAACCAAGCCCAGCATGCTTCCACCAACCACACACACATGCACACACGATGCACCATCCCCCCGCCCCCTTCCCACACTGTCAAAACCCATCCCACCTCCCCCTCCTCCCTCTTACCCTGCTCACGCCACCTCCAAGCCCCGCCCCCCTCCCCCCCACACACACACAACACACACACGCACCACGCACCTTCCCCCCGCCCCCTTCCCGCACCGTCAAAACCCATCCCACCTCCCCCTCCTCCCTCTTACCCTGCTCACGCCGCCTCCAAGCCTGGCATGCTTCCGCTGCCCACACACACACACACACACACACACACACGCACCACGCACCTTCCCCCCGCCCCCTTCCCGCACCGTCAAAACCCATCCCACCTCCCCCTCCTCCCTCTTACCCTGCTCACGCCGCCTCCAAGCCCCGCATGCTTCCCGCCGCCGACAGGGCGCGGGGCAGTGACGTCAGCGGCACCAGCGGAATGGAGGGAGAGAGAGAGAGAAAGAGAGAGAGAAAGAGGAGAGCGAGGCCTGCCTCCCTTCAGGGCCTTCCCCAACACGACAACCCTGCCAGGTAGGCCTCAGACCCACTTCTCGAGATAAGTTAGGAAGACAAGGGGGAAGGAAGGAAAGTAAGAGAAAGAAGGAAGAAGAAAAGGAAAAATGGAAGGAAAGATAAGGGAGACACCAGAAGAGAAAGAAAAAGGGGGAAGGAAGGAAAGAGGTAGAGAAGAAAGAAATGAGAGAAAGAGGGAGGGAAAGAAAAAGGGGAAAGAAGGAAGGAGAGGAGGAAAGAAAAAAAGGGAATGAAGGAAGGAAATAGGGAGCAAAGGAAGGGGGAAGATGTAGAGAAAGAGGGAGGGAAGGAAAGAAGGAAGAGAAGGAAGAAAAGAGAGACAGCAGAAGAGCAAGAAAAAGGGGGAAGGAAGGAAAGAGATAGAGAAGGAAGAGGAGAAGGAAAGATGGGAAGGAAGGAAGGAGGGAAAGAAGGAGAGAAAGAGGGAAGGTAGGCCACAGCAAAAAAAAAAGTGCAAGAAGGAAGGAAACATGGAGGGAAGAAAGGAGGCAAAGGAAGAAAGGGGGAGGGAATGAAGGAAAGAGAGAAGGTACCTCTCTTTCATAATAGACGAGATATCTACCTCTACTATGAAAAGACTGACTATAGGCCACAGCAAAGCGTGGCAGGGCACAGCTAGTAGCTGATATAGTGGAAGCAACCAAGTCTGCCCTCCCATAACTGGCAGGCAAACCTAAGGCATGGGAGGGATTTGAAGTCCCCCATGAAAGAGACCAGAAAATTGATTTAATTAAGGCTGTATAAGATATAGAATGAACCATACTATTTAAATTATTTTATGTTATGAAACTACTCATGATTTGCTAAAAAAAAAAAATCAACCCCCTCCCCAATTATTTATTTATTTATTTATTTTAGCTATGGACTTGGATAGTGCCAAACTGAATACACTGCTGTTTGATAGTCAAGGCTCCTTCCCACTTCTGCACTGACTGTGGGCAGTGATCTAAACCATCCTGGGACCAATCCAGCATTTACCATGCTGGATCAGCCTTGGGATAAGTGGTTATTGTAGAACCATGTGAACTCCCTTGAGGCCTTTACACAAATAAAGCCCTTCTTTTCTGACTTCTCTCCTTTAGATCTCTCTCTCTCCCTCCCTTCCTCTCCGATTTTCTTGTAAACTCCAGTCATGTTTACCATGGAAAGGTGACCAGTTAAGTATTAAGACTTTACCTAATCTTGTTATGAGTTAGTTGAGATGTAGGTCCCCATGCATATGTAAATGCATAGCCATTACATTACTTTTAAAATTTGTAAAATTCACATTATTGCCTTGGTTGTTTTTGGAGCCAACAAGGGAACTCAGCACAGCAATACAGAGAGAGGTTCAGATATACCGTCCCTATTCAATGAAAACTAATTCATAAAATTTAAGTTTTCACACTGTTAGTGACATATGCAAGGCATGTAGTTCTTTTATGACAATGTATGTTGTTTTCAAGTCATTGCAGAAGAAGATATTCAGTACCTCTTTGTGCCCATTCTCCGTGCATCGGTGGTGGAGTACACTTTCCATAGGCACCGACTGACAGGGAAGAAAGAAATTCCCCAGGGAGTAGATAGCAGGTGAACACATAGAAGATTTGTGGGAAGATGTGTTGGTGCGTAGGTGGTACGCTTGAAGGGACACTGTGCTCCTAGAAGATAAAGACCATTATTTTTAAAAATACAAATAACAAGTAAAGGTTATATGGGGTGATAAGGATACTAAAATGCAGTTGCAACAGTAACAGTATTTTGGACATTGGAATAACCTGTTCCATTAATTACTTTTAAGAGGTCAAATTCCAGGCAAAAGGTTAAGGTACAAAGGGTTACCTACAATTAAGAAAGATCCCTCTTTCTTCTCTTTCTTCAGCACAATACCAACAAAACATTCTCTTTCATTAGTCAAATTCCTAGTCAGATAATCTACATGATATATCTTTGGGGGTTATGGTATATTGTTTTTTGTCTTCATTTTTTTCTCAGCAGCAGATAAAACCTTGAGAAAGCAGGCACACTGTCTGAGACATAGCAATCAGTCTTGAGTATACTAGTTGAGACTGATAATGTGGTTCCACTCCTTTGCTATCTTCTGGGAGGCCATATCTCTGCAGATTATTCTTGGATTCCTTGCGACATTTCTTCTCCTTACTGACTACGTAAGACGGAGACGGCCAAGGGGTTTCCCTCCAGGTCCCGTACCTCTTCCTTTTCTGGGCAATCTGCTTAGTTATGATTCCCAGAAGCCTCATCTCTATAACCAAAAGGTAAGGTGGAGAAGTGCTCAGATAGTACCTATGTCCTTTTAAAACATGAGGAGGCTCCTCTAATAGAGAAATAACTGGATGCTGCTAATTGTTGCTTTCAGCTGTCAGGTTTGCTTTGATGTATGGTGACCAAGGCTGGATCTACACTGTCCTATATACCCCAGATCAGATTCAAGATTATCTTCTTTGAGCTGGATTATATGAATCTCCACTGCCATATAATCTGGGATAAGCAGATAATCTGGAATCAGATCCTGGGAGATAGGGCAGTGTAGAAGTGGCCCAAATGAGTAACAACCCTTCAGGAAGTAACTGTAACTAAAAGCTCTTATCAGCTCTTAGAAAACTTAAGGCTGTAAATTTCTTAATTGAGTTAATCTATCTGCAATGTAATCTTTCTTTTCTTGTGCTGCTTATTTCTCATTTTATAATGACACAATATTTGTTTTCTAATGTCCTATAAGTGATTATTAAACCTGATGGTTTTAAATTACATCAGATTAGGTTTCAAGTAAAAAGGAGAAAGTGATTTATGATAAGAACAGTTCATTGATGGAATAAATGCATGAGCTGGGATGGCTTCTCTAACCTTCAAGCAGAGCCTGGATCCTTTTACAAAGCAGTAGCTAGAAGCAGATGATCTACAGGATCCTCTTTCATGAATCCAATTCTATAAACCTCAGACTCTTGTAAAGGATTTGATTTCTTCTCCTCTATCCAAGCACTCCATGAGAACAAAGCAGAGAAATTTGTGTAGAAGTTGAGACTCTGCACTGGAAGGCACATTGGATGTTTCACTTGGACAGAACTACAATATATACACCTATTTCATATAACTCCTTTTTCTTTTGCAGTTATCTTCTCCATGGTCATTTAGAGCCTAGCAGAGAATACAGCTTCAGAAAAATCATCTGGCTATGTCCCAATAGCCAGATGGAGTGTGATGATATAATCCTATGGGGACTTCAGATATCCTGGAGGTCTTAAGGATGCTTTTGTCATAACTGGACAATTTGATCTTCACTGGCTACTAAATGGTTATGGTATTAGACTCACACAGGAGTAAGGAGGGTCCTACCAAGATTTTGGTCAAGAATGAGGGAATCAAGATTTTGTCCAAAAGTTCAAAACTCAACCATAACATATTTCCTTCTTGCAGCTTGTTGCAATATATGGCAATGTCTTCAGTTTGCAATTTGGAAACCTGCATATTGTACATGTGAATGGACTGCAAGCAGTGAAGGAAGCTCTCATTCATCAGGGTGAAAATTTTCTAGATCGGCCACAAGTCCCTATTACCTATGACATTTCGAAGACATTTGGTGAGTATATTTTCCTTCATTTCTTTATTTTTTGCAAAGTTAAATTAATTAATCAGATTAAATTCTGTTGGACAGTACTTTGGTCATATCTTGCATTTTTTGGATTCATAAATCAGACTTGAGTTTTTAGGAGTACACCCACTGAAAATATCAAAACAACAACTTCTAAACAATTTAATATACTGTATATCCTCACTGTATTTTGAGAACAAACAGTAGTGACTGCATTGCAGCCCAATTTTAGTTTACAACTTCTCACCTTATATAGTATTACATATCACTAAATAGAAACCTATATTCATTTTCTTATATAGAATAAACAAAATAAAATAATTGATTTCAAAATAACTGAAGAATGCCATATTGATGCAGCCTAGAATCACATTTTTTAGCTGTTCCATTACACTGTTGACTTATGCTCAACATGTGGCTTACCAGGGGTCTTTCCACATAGGCATTTCATTCAGATCAAAATGTGGATCATTTGATTTAGTCTGGAGTGGCTATAGAAGGCAGGATCATCAAGTTTGCAGACGACACCAAATTGGGAGGGATAGCCAACACACCAGAGGACAGGAGCAGGATTCAAAACGATCTTGACAGATTAGAGAGATGGGCCAAAACTAACAAAATGAAGTTCAACAGTGACAAATGCAAGATACTCCACTTTGGCGGGAAAAACGAAATGCAAAGATACAGAATGGGGGACGCCTGGCTCGAGAGCAGTACGTGTGAAAAAGATCTTGGAGTCCTCGTGGACAACAAGTTAAACAAGACCCAACAATGTAATGTTCCGGCAAAAAAAGCCAACGGGATTTTGGCCTGCATTAATAGGAGCGTAGTGTCTAGATCTAGAGAAGTAATGCTACCCCTCTATTCTGCTCTGGTTAGACCACACCTGGAATATTGTGTCCAATTCTGGGCACCACAATTCAAGAGAGATATTGACAAGCTGGAATGTGTCCAGAGGAGGGCGACTAAAATGATCAAGAGTCTGGAGAACAAGCCCTATGAGGAGCGGCTTAAGGAGCTGGGCATGTTTAGCCTGAAGAAGAGAAGGCTGAGAGGAGATATGATAGCCATGTATAAATATGTGAGACGAAGCCACAGGAGGAGGGAGCAAACTTGTTTTCTGCTTCCTTGGAGACTAGGACGAGGAACAATGGCTTCAAACTACAAGAAAGGAGATTCCATCTGAACATGAGGAAGAACTTCCTGACTGTGAGAGCCATTCAGCAGTGGAACTCTCTGCCCCGGAGTGTGGTGGAGGCTCCTTCTTTGGAAGCTTTTAAACAGGGGTTGAATAGCCATCTATCAGGGGTGATTTGAATTCAATATTCCTGCTTCTTGGCAGGGGGTTGGACTGGATGGCCCATGAGGTCTCTTCCAACTCTTTGATTCTATGATTCTATGATTCTATACAAAACTGGCTGCAAGCTGAAATACAGGGCAAAGAGCCACTGGAACTCTTAAGCCACATTTTGATCTGGATTGACTCTACTGAACACAGGTGGTTTTTTAAAAAAAAAATCCTTACTTCCTCAAAGAGATAAAAAGCTTCTGCAAGCTAGCTTCAGAGGCTGTCAACAGCTGAATAATTTTGTAAAATTTTCATTAGAAGCAGGCTGCTGTTTATCCTGACTGTGCAAAGGTCAGCACTCTTTATATTCCGACACAGGAGGGATTTATCGGATCTTCCAGCTGGAATTGGGTTTTTTCATGAGTTTTTTTTTATCATGCAGTTTCATGGTAGATGTGAGTTGGAGCTCACATTGGGGTAAAATACTATCAGGACATCACCACCTTAACCAAGTTTCAAGACGGATTTAAGTGTCTGCGTAGATGGGGCCTAAGACTGTTAGGGTTATAGTAATAGTTCACTTTCACATGTAATGTTTTCAAGCCAGGTTCACCCCTCTTATATCTGTGCTTTTCATTTTTATTGGCAAAATGTAGTATTGTACATTCCTCCTTACCAAAATTCATTTTGTTAGTTTTGGCCCAGTTCTCTAATCTGTTAAAGTCATTTTGAATTCAGATCCTGTCCTCTGGGGTATTAGCTATCCCACCCAATTTGGTGTCACCTGTAAATGTAATAAGCATGCCTTCTATTCTGTTATCCAACTCATTGATAAAGAGGTTTAATAGTGCCCACGACAAAAACTTTTGGCAACTCGTTTCTCACTTTTTTCCAGGATGAGGAGGAGACACTGGTCAGCACCCTTTGGATTTGACCAGTCAGCCAGTTCCCAAGCCACCTAAAAGTAGCATTGTACAGTCCACATTTTATTAGGGGAACTTATCAAAGGCCCAATTGAAATCAAGATATTCTGTACCCATAGCGTTCCTATAACCTACGAAATTTGTTTTAATAAACTGAATAAAGTTAGTCTGGCTTTGACTTGTTTTTGAGTAAAACAAAATTTACTTTTTGTGAGTATGGCATTGCTTTTTTAGGCCCCTTCTACATGCTGTACTATTTATTTATTTATTTTATTTCTACCCTGCTCCATCTCACCCTGAGGGGGGCTCAGAGTGGCTTCCAATTTTGGCAAATATTCAATGCCACAAATATACAAAAATCAGACAAAACTTACACAATTAACCATTACAATCAATTAAACATACAAATACAAATTTCAAACCAATTAAAATATGTAAAACACAGCACCAATCCCGAATTGTCGTCCAGATTACCTCTTACTTAAGTCTGTCTGCAATTTAATTTCTAATTTCTAATTTTGACTCGCCAAATGCCTGGTTCCACAGCCAGGATTTCACTTTCCTCTGAAAAACCAGAAGGGAGGAGGCTAATCTGATGTCACTGGGGAGGGAGTTCCACAGCCAAGGGGCCACCACAGAGAAGGTCCTCTTTCATCCCCATCAATCATGCCTGCAAAGGGGGTGGAACCAAGAACAGGGCCTCCCCTGTAGTTCTTAACACTTGGCCTGGCTCATAGAGGGAGATACACTCAGACAGGTAAGCTGGGCCAAACATATCTTCACAGGTAAGATCAGTCACAGAGCCTGTCTTGAAGTAAAAGTTTCTCATGGACCCCCAAGAAATGTTTATATATTATATTATATATAAAGTGTGTGTGTATATATGGTTTTAAATGGTGTATTTAATATTTTTATAAATGTTTTTTAATGTTTATGTATGTGTATGTGAATTTGTGTCCCGGCATTGAATGTTTGCCGTGTATACGCTATGCTCCGCCCTGAGTCCCCTTCGGGGTAAGAAGGGTGTGTGTGTGTGTGTGTATCAGATATGGGCAAACTTTCTGACACATTGCATTTTAAAATTTGATAGACAGACCAGGCCAGTGGTAGATGGATGCAGAGTGTTTGTGTCAACTATTTTTTTAAAATGAACAAATTCCTATGCATACTGCACATTAATAATAATAATAATAATAATAATAATAATAATAATAATAACTTTATATCATGCCCCTCTCCCCAAAGGGACTCAGAGCGGCATACAACAATGTGACAATAAAAAAAATCATAAGCACAGAAACAATATAATAAAAAAACCTTTAATTATAGACCACCCTATCTCCCCAAAGGGACTCAGTATCAACGAACAACTAATATCAATGTGGGATTTTCTGCCTTGATATTATGGGATATATGGCTCTGCTTTCCCCCTGCTGCTTCCCTCTCCTAATTATGAGAGACCATTAATTTAAAGAGGAAAGGCAGCCTTTTTGGCTTTGTGTTGCTTCCTCGCACTGAAAATAAAACTGATTTGGGAGGCTCCTGAGATTTACAAAATTTAAACAAAGAAGTATTGGCTATGTATTGATCCTTACGTTTTGGGGACGGGCCATGCCCACGTGTTGGATATTGCATTTTAAGTATGAATTTAACAAATTGTATATGACCTTCAACAACTAATGAAACATTTGCACACTCCTAGTAAATACGTATAACAGGTTTTGGGAGTTCAGCTCTATGTGACCAACTTAGCCATTTCTCTTGCCCTCTTGGATCCACCCTGATGGTCTGCTTAGTAAAATAAGTACATAAATACATACTAGATCTGTCCAACCCCTCCTTCCCCATTTGTTTTCATTCAGTGCATTACTCAAAGACAAAGTTCTCAGCAATGCTCTAATGCTATTCAAGTATATTCCTGTGGCTGTTCCAGGTCATGGGGAAGAAGCTTTTAAGATGGCCTATCACAGTGCAGGTACATGGGAAACTACTCATTTAATGAGTCCTGAATACCTCCTTATTCAAGTATGTAAATTGTACAATGAGCTATGCTGGCATAATGCTCCAACAGGATTTCAGACAACTTTTTATTTTTAGAATTTACAGGGAATGTTTGCAGTGCTAAGTGAGGTGATGCCAATTTTTGCCCTCTAGGAGTGATTGTGTCTAATGGACTGACCTGGAAACAACAAAGACGATTTGTTTTGTCAATGCTAAGAAACTTTGGATTGGGCAAAACATATTTGGAGGAACGAATACAGGAAGAGAGCAGGTTCCTTGCAGCTGCCATTGGAGATGAGAAAGGTAATGATACCTTAGTTGTGCTTTAAAGTTCCATAGTGCTTCATTCGTGTGACTTTTCCTGAGCTGGACATTTGGGAACTTCAGCAGAATGCTGAACTTTTAAACCTTCCCTGATGGATCTGGGCAGAATCTGCTATTGTGGAGTTCCCTTGAGATGCAGGTCCATCCATCTCAACTGGCTTGACACTGGGCACATTCAGGTCTAATAAACACATGGAATAACATGGATAAAAGCTACATATAAAATCCAAAAGGCAAAAATATTGATAAATGGAGACTTCACAACATTCCACTAAATAAGTGAAGTGCAATACTTAGGATGCTCAAATATTTATATTGACAAATGGGTTTTTTTCACAGCTTCTGATAGCTAAAACAGTACTGCAGGAGACTTAAAATGGCTTAACATAAAAATATTAGCATACAATTTAAAATATATAAATATGCAAACATTAAAACAGCGTTAAATATAATTAGTATCAAAAATATTATTAACATTAACATTATTAACATTTTAAAAATAGCAGCCCCAGGACCAGATGGTTTTCCCATGTTATATGATAAGAAATTTGAGAAAGAGCTCAAAGAACCTATACAAGATTGATTCAACACAAAATTAAATGACCAGAGACATGGGAAAATGCAATTATTACAAAATTGTGACTACAATTTTAGCAGAAAGATTTAATATTTAAATGTGTTCTTATATCATGATCAGGCAGGGTTCTTACCTCAAGTGACAACCTGAGAACAGTCTTGGATCTAATAAAGGCTCTAGATCAGTGGTTCTCAAACTGTGCCCCGCCAGATGTTTTGGACTCCCACAATTCCTAGCAGCTGGTAAGCAGGCTGGTAAGCAGGCTGGAATTTCTGGGAGCTGAAGGGGACAGTTTGGAGGGGACAGTTTGAGAACCACTACTCTAGATAAACAAAATGGAGGGGGGAAAGCAGCCCTAATATTTCTAGATGCAGAAGAGACATTTGATAATGTCAACTGAGAATTTATATTTGCAACATTAGAAAACATGGATTTTGGAAATAATTGAATAACATGGATAAAAGCAACATATAAAATCCAAAAGGCAAAAATATTGATAAATTGAGATTTCAAAAAATTCCACTAAAGAGAAGTGCAATATTGAGGATGTTCAATGCGGTATGTATCTGCTATCAGTGAAAATGTGACCGTAGTAGAAAAGCAGATTCATGTGATAGAGGTCTTATTTTATATAGTCATGTATAAGAAACTCATACATGACGTTTTAGTCAAAAATTGATGCAAAAACCCCCAAGTTAGTTGATTCACCTTTACTCTTTTCAAAATTAGCTATCTCTGAGTAAAGTAGTGAAAGACAAGAGCTTAGTTTATTCTGGAGAAAAAGCTGAAAAAAGCATATTTGCCCCTTAACCCCTGAAATAACGAGACAGACAACAAAGGTATGGATTCAAATTGGGCAACTTTTATTGAATGTTACCTATTTAACTTTACCTGAACTAAACTAAGTGTCAAGGAACTTGGTGGCAAGCTGAGGCAGCGTCCCCAGCTACTTAGTGTGTGATGTCTGTGTGCCCTGGATCCCCAACCGGGCAACCTGAAGGTAAAAGTCTGGAGAAGCCTATGTCCGATTATTGATATCAGCTTCTCTCTTTACTGGGCCAATTGATGTCCCCTCACCCATTTGTTGACTTCTAGGTGAGTGTTTGTTGTACAGTGCCCCCCACCCTTAATGGGTGCCATGTGTATACCTCCATGTCAGTGTTTTCCTGAACTATTTATGCTGGCCTAGTTAAACCAAACCACTCCATCTAGCCCCTAATAACAGTATAGGGTAGGCGAAAAAACCCCCCAGAACATGAGAGGCAAAAAATTCCTACCCGGCTCCAACGGGCAACCAAATATACTGTCAATGGGCAGGAGTGGCGGGCGGAAAGTCAGACAAGACTGAGGGTAAGAGGCTGGCTCACATGGTAAGCAGCCCCCGCCCCTCTTCCAGGAGGTTCTAAATGGAACCTCCGATTCTCTCCCTTCAGGGGGTGGGGCAAATCGCTCTCCCCACCAACTGTGTTGGTGTGGAGAGCCCCATCCTACTCATTCCACCAGTGGGCCACGCCTTACCTTTTTATAAAATGTGGATGAAAAAAATGTGAAGAGCAGCTGACTCTTGAGTGGGTACTGGCTTGTCTCCTCTCCAGAGAATGTCCCTCAACTCATCTATGTGCTATATCAAAACCCATAATTTTGTTTCCAAAACTGCCCTCAATTTACACACAATGTCAACTTATACATGAGTATATGCTGTAGTTGTTTGTGCTGGAATAGACCAACACATCTACTCCTCACTGTTGCTTAAAATGCATTTACTATGCTTTAATCTATTACAACATCAGAATGTTTTCCCAATGTTATATTTTTGTGATATAAAAGGTGTAATCATTCCAATTCTTCCTCTGCCAACATTTTTTTTCCTTTCCAGGGCAGCCATTTGACCCCTACCATCAAATTAACAATGCCATTTCAAATGTAATTTGTTCTGTCACTTTTGGGAACCGCTTTGATTACCATGACAGCCAGTTCCAGAAGTTGTTACATTTGCTTGATGAAACAGGAGTTTTTCTGCGAAGCATTTTCTGCCTTGTAAGGCCTGTTTGTGATCTTATGGGTAATAAGCACCAAGACTGACTCCATTTGACATGATTTTCTAATCCCACTCACTCTTAATTAATTTTCTTGGAATACTTTGATTCTGCCCATTTTAGGTCTACTGTTCTTTCTTGCTCTATTGAGGCATCTATATCTCAATTTACTCTTTTCACCTGATTTTGCATTATGGAATTGATGTGTCTCAGCTGATGCATGCATTTGGGTGGATATTATTTATGTATTCATTCATTTAGTTATTTATTTTGTTTATATGCTGCCTTTCTCCTGAAGTGAAACTCTAGATATCTCAAAAAGGAAAGAAAAAAAAAACACTGATAATACTGTTTAAAAACCCATTAAAATCTGCACAATATGAAATTATTCTCAAAATTTAGAAAAATGGCAGCCTTGATGCATAAACGTTGAATGCCTTCTGAAAAAAAATCTTTGTCGTTTAGTGAAAGGAAAACAGGGAGGGGGGCAGGCAGGCTAACTTTCCAGGGAGGAGCATTCCATAGGGTAGAAGCAAACACTGAGAAGGCTCTCCCTTGAGTCCTCACTACATTACGAGTGTTACTCAACTCCAAGTGGCTTAAAATGAAGAAAGACAGGCAAATGATGGGAAGGGACATGAGATCGCTGGCTATCAAGTAAGGGAATCAAGTAAGGGAATCAAGTAAGACAGTTTCCTCCACTTTCCCCTGCTTTCTCCCCACTCCATCTGAAATTCTTTATCTTCTTGTTCTGCTGGCTATTAACCTAATTGTAACTGGTGATGAAACGATTGAGATGTTCTACAGAATTTACTAGATTTTCTCTCCTTTTCATCTAATTTTAGTGTTTATCTTCCAGCTGTACAATGCTTTCCCAGCTCTCATGAGGCGATTGCCAGGACCCCATCAAAACTATTTTAAAAACTGTAAACTACTGGAATCCTTTGTGAGAAAAATAATTGAAAAGCACAAAGAAGACTGGAATCCACTTGAAACAAAAGATTTCATTGATGCTTATCTAAATGAAATGGCCAAGGTATTTAATAAATTAGGAGGAAAGAATCTATTTCTTAATTTTAAGTGAAGATAGATAAATACTCAATGTAAGATACCACAGATAATTACAGAATGTGTTAAAATAGGGATTTTTTTCAGGCTTCAAGTTGATTATACAAAGTCAAATTGGATATAGGAAGGTTGGAAAGAGAGATACGGTGTAAATATATGAAAACATTTTACTTAGGAAATGCCTTTGTTTATGTGATACCAATTGTGTATTAGTTAAATATCACTGCCTAGCCATGATGTTTCAGAACAATTTGTGAATAAAGCTGGGGAACCTTTACTTTCCAGATGTCCTGAAAAAATTCCTTCAACATTGTCCTTTGCTGTCAAGGACTTTTGGGAAATGAAGTTCAAGATAGTTGGAGAGTCTGGATGTTTTATATCATCTACTCATACTCTTGCTGCTTCTTGACAGGGGCTTGGGCTGGATGGTCCATGAGGTCTCTTCCAACTCTATGATTCTATGATTCTTGCTGGTTTTAATACACCTTTTCTGGGCTTTTAAGTCTAGGTCATGAATTTTGCTAGTGTTTTCATACTTCCTATTAGCCCTCGTCTACATTGATCCTATAATGTGACCAAGAAAATTTGAAACTGCAGTGTATGCAAAACACATGCTGCGAAAGCATACTACAATCTACATTAAAGGGAATATAGTGTACTAAAACATTGCAGGAAAGTCTGAATCAAGCCATAAACTGCACTGCAGTAGGTCCCAGAATATCCCAGATCCAGGACAAAAATGGATCTGAAAAATATTGAGTATATTGTAAATACCTGCCTCTGCTGAAGCACAATAAAAAATCCAGAACAAGGGCATGGCTGGCAGCAAGGGGATAATTGACCCCTTGGCAGTGTTATTGTTTATCTCCACACAGGGCCGTAGTCAGAAAAAAAAATTCGGGAGGGGTTAAAAATTTCGGGGGGGGGGGGAGTTTGGAAAATTTCAGGGGGGGGGTGAAAATTTCGGGGGGGGGGGTTGAAACCTGCCTCTTAGCTCACACTGAAGCAAAGAGCACAGCAGGGGCAGAGCAGCCTTCAATAGCCTGCAGCTCCACCCCTGTCAACCACCTCCACCAAGTCTGGCCTCCTTAATGAGAGCATTCACCCCCCCCCCCCCAACTTGGTTGCTTCACTACATCAGCTATTGCTGCAAGTAATGACAGTGTGAATAAATTGTCAATATTTGCTTGAGATAGTGCTTACAGTTCTGGAGAGACTCTTAATTTTTTGCATCTCATAGACTTAGCATGGGGATTTGGTTAACCAGTTAAAATTCATGAGTAAACCAGGTTTTTTTTTAACCTGAAATTTTTTGGGGGGGGGGGCGGGGTTGAACCCACAAACGTTTTCAATCTCCGAGACTTGTCTAACATCTTCCAGGTACAAAACCCTTTGTCTATCAATGTTTTAATATTGATTTTATCGTAGTTGTTAATTTTAGAAAATGGCATTTATAACCTTTTGGAAAAACACCTTTTGGAGATCAAAACTTTTTAGAAAAGCATGACTTTCCAAAGACGAGCCAAAAACTCTTTAGAGCAGAATCTTCTCTTATGGTATACAACATGCAAGGCAATGGTTTCCGTTTTTAGACTGAATAAGCTGATATCTCTGTTCTGTTAGGAAAACAGAGATATGCCAGTGCATTAAAATAGCAGAGTTTCAGAACTATTTTTCAGTTGCCCATATATATATATATATATATATATATATATACACACACACACACACACACACACACACACACACATACACATATACATATACATATATACTAGGGCTGGGCAACCACGGAAAAATTTGTTTCTAAAATCGATTCATTTTTTGGGGGGTTTTGCGTTTTGATTTTTAAAAGAATTCTGAAATTTTTCTTTTAAAAAGTTCGATATTTACGAAATTTCGTAAATTACAAAACTATACAAAACAATAACGAAACAATCACGAATCGATTCGTTAATGGCGGACGCGACCGCACAATACGCTAAAAAACCTCCAAATGGGACAGGGGGAACTTCTGAAGCTTCCCTCTCCCTCTGTTGTTGACTGTTGGTGTGATATTTATAATTTTTTTTCACTGATTAAACAAACAACAACTATAAAACTTGCCCAGACATGCGGAAATAATAACAAAACGATTTCAAAACGATAACGAAACGAATACAAAATGAATTCGAAACAATTACGAAACTAATTTTAAAATTCGTTTCGTTTTTTAGTTGCTCCTGAATGGTTCGTTATCGCTTCGTTATAAAAAAATAACGAATTTTTAACGAATTACGAAATTACGAAACAAAACCGCCCAGCCCTAATATATACATACATATACACACACACTCCCTTGTCTTATAACATGCACTCAAGAGACAAATGAAGTAGACGTTGATTAAAAAATAATATATGTGGTTTACTCACAACCTTCATGTGTTCAGCATACAGAGGTACAAAAACATATCAGTTCAGTTTCAAATATGTTTGAGATAATTCTCTGTGCCATCCAGCCATGGCATCTCTCTTATAACAAAACAGCAAACAAATGTGTTATCTGGGGTCTGAAGTAGTCTGCAGTCAGCCTGTAGCTATCATGTAGTCCCTTTTATAACTTCTCAGGAGCCATAGAGTAAAGAAAGCTGAATGCAAGAACATACACAGAGGAACAGTAAACATTATTAGAGAAGGCTTGAAGAAGGTTGTCATTTCCAACATGTCTCTAGTGCACTAATGCACATTTCTGTAGAACAAAAAATGATACAGTAGTTTGAGTAGGTTCCGTGGTTAATGTAATCACCCACCTGGCCTTAAACAAATTCCAAAACTGTCTGTGTCATCACTTGGACAGCGAAAATTATTCCTCTGAAACTGGTTCCATGCTTCATTATACTGACAGAGTAGTTGTGCCCTAAGCTTCCATAATTTCCAAGAAACTGAACTCCCTTTAGGAACAGAGAGATTACAACGATTGATAGATATACCCCTTTGGATCAAATAAGGGTTTTACTAAAAAATGAATTATTTAACTGTTCTTTCCTATTAAGGAGAATGCTTCTTCCACTTTCCATATGGAAAATCTTCTGCACACAACACTAGATTTGTTTCTTGCTGGAACAGAAACAACTTCTGCAACCTTGCACTGGGCTGTGCTGTACATGGCTGTTTATCCGGAAATTCAGGGTAAGATTGCAATCCCCATCCAACCCCTATTTGAGTTTTTTAAAAAGAGAGAATGGTACTTAATTTCCAGACAATTATGATAATTCAATGCCAGTTATAAATGTTTCTCGTTGTTGCTCGAGAAGAATAATCTTTCTGAAAGCAAGATAAGTGAACTTTGCTTGTTTATCTTGGAGTATTTTCTCAAGTATGCTCCTTGAGCATTTCAGTGCAAGAATTCTCTTGTTCTTAATGTTATTCAAGTTGTACAAAAAGCAGAGCAATATTTATTTTCTAAACAATGTGGTGACCTTATTATAATTATTAATTATAATAAATACACATACAGTTAATAATATACTGCTGAAAGCGGTCCCAAACACAAACACACAGAGAGTGCTTTTTCTCCAGTACCGGCATCCAGAATTGAATATAGTTTATGAAAATTAAGCCACCTACTAATAATATAAAACAAAACACTATATACAATAGTGAAATATAATACTCTCCAAGTCATGATGGAAACAAATTTCTATGAGGAAGAAAACATAGACTAGGCATGGAGAAGTAAAGAAGCTTCAACAGAGGGAACCCAGTAGTGGATGTGTGCTTTCTTCTTTGCTTTCCTTGTTTACTGTGCTTTATTACCCCTTGGCTTGAGAAGGGTGCGAATTGAGGCTTCTTTGTCTCATGATGGCTTACCCACAGAATAAGGGATTCTGGCACCAAAGTTAGGTAACTTGCTTTTGTCTATCTTGTTAACCACAATAATAAGAGTAAATTTTATTCCCTCCCCTCCCCCCCCCCCTTAAACCTTCCCAGGCCAGTCTACATATTTGCTCTCTTGTTTCCAACCAAAAGCTTATCTACAACTCTGTCTATGCTGCACTCTAGATACCAAAACATTTTCTCCTGATGTTTTGCCTGCATCTGTGGCTGGCATCTTTCTGTTAGCAGTGTAGCAAGCAAAGTTTGTGCGTGTGTGTGTGTGTGTGTGTGTGTGCGTATCTATGGAATGTCCAGGGTGAGAGAAAGAACCCTTGTCTGTTTAAAGCAAGTATGAACGTTGGAATTAACAAGTTTGAATAGCATTGAATAGACATGAGGTTGCAAAGTCAATCAGTGAGGGTATCTGCAATAGTTTGCTTTTGTATGAGCCTACTATTTGTTCTTCTCCTCGCCATTTCTTGAGTGAAAATTATTTTTGCAAGTTGAACTCAAGTTGAAGGAACTGAAGTAACTTCAACACAAATGAGAAAAGTGGGAGGAAGAGGATAGCTTCCAGGCAGCCTTTATTATCCCTGGGAGGCCTCAACGTCAAAAAATGTCTTACTGTTTGTTAGTGCTTGATCATTTAGTGCCACTTGGGTTGATAATTCCTGTGGAGGCTTAACAAAAAAGGAATCTTGGTAATTCAATATTGCCAGATCACTTCAGGGAAGCTGAGTCTTCCCTAACCTAGTCTTTGGGGTCTAAAGCAAACAAGCCCTGCCATTCCACTCCCTATGGGTCTATGCTAAAGACTTCTCCTAAACTGTTTCATCACAGTCTTGCAACCTCATCAGAGGGTTTTTTTCTTCCTTTTAGCATGCTGCTGGAATAGAGGTGAGATGGAGTCTGCTGGAGCCCATCATATGACGCAGGGCTACTTCCGGTGGGGCTCCATTCCAGCTCCATCCTGACTCCATCCTGACTCCATCCCGGCAACATGATAAAAGGAAGCAAAGAGGTTACTGGTGACTACCCATATCCTCATTGAAGAAGCCAGTGACAGTACAGGAAGAAGCCAGGGACAGCCGGGAAATGCTGTGGGATGGCAGTCCACAACCAACCATGGTAAGAGGACAAAGTTGGGCGCTGTCCCACAGTTTTCCTATTGACTCATTCTTTTCCCCAATGTCCCCTGGCTTCTAGACTTCCATCCGATGAGGTCATTGTTCATACTAAATACTTACTCTGGAATGACAAGCTACTATATATACTCATGTATAAGTTAAGCTCATGTATGTCTAGGGCAGATTTTGGGGCCCAAATCATGGAATGACCCATGGATAAGCCAATGGTTATTCTGTGGATAGGGGAAAGCATCAATGCCACCTCAGGAGGCTCTGTCACTGCTGTTTCCCTTCTCAGGTATTGAAAAAAAAGGTAAGAAGCAGTGCCATGGCAAAGAAAGAAGAGAGGATTAGCACTTCTTTTAGAATCTCCTGGGATGGATCAAGTGATTGCTATTCATTCATCTACACAGAATATGGGATAGTTCTATTTTTGTACAGTACAGCATTGACTCATGGGTTGATTTTTTTCCCACCAAAAAGTCTAGACTTATATTTGTGGATAGTATAGGGTATTTATTTTTCTTAGGATAATAACTTGGTGCATTATTTAGATGTTGCAGCCTTGACTCTGTCCTATATTCTTTGTGAAATTATACTTGCGAGAATATTCATATTGTGTTTTTTTAATTATTATAAATATAATTTTCTTTGTAGCAAAAGTTCAGGCAGAAATAGACTCCGTGATTGGCCAGTCTCACCTCCCAGCAATGGCTGATAGGGATAACTTGCCTTATACTAATGCAGTTATTCATGAAATTCAAAGAAGAAGTAGTATCGTGGTCCTAAATGCTCCTCGGTTGACAACTAATGACACAAAGGTAGCTGGATTTCATCTGCCCAAAGTAAGTCTTCAGCAAATACATCTATTTTCTTTTCTTTTCCTTGTCCCTTGTTTAGAAACTTAAGAACAGGTTCTGATTACTGAGTTATACCAATAGTGTAAAAACGATGCAAATATCTTGGGTATGTAACATGATTTTTGTCCCTGGGTTATAAATGTAATTTCCTAATTGGTTGTATCATTAAAAAAACATAGGAAAAGTTTATTAAAGTGCAAAAACTTTGTTTTTGCAAAACATGCTAAAAGACATTTTCCTATACTTCTCCAATGAGTATCTCATTGGCCCCTTCTACATTGCCATGAAATCCAGATTACCAAAGCAGATAATCCTGGTCATTTGATTTGAGTCTATACTGCCAAATAATCCAGTTTAAAGCAGATAATCTGGATTTTATATGGCAGTGCAGATCCAGCCATAGAGTCTCAAACAATTTAATGAGTAGCTCATAGAGACCCCATCTACACTGCCAGATAAAATCCAGATTAACTGCTTTGAACTGGATTACGTTAACTGTCATATAATCCAGTTCAAAACAGATAATGTGGATTATTTGCTTTGATAATCTGAATTATATGACAATGTAGAAAGGGCTGAAAGTGCCATAAGTTGTTGGCAGCCACAAAATCGAAGTGTCTGGAGTATAACAACTACTTTCAAAGTAAATACCACACAATTAAACAGGAAATAACACTTTCAAACCAAGTACAGATTTTTTTTTTTCAAATTTTGTTACACAGGGTAATTATAGCACTATCTTGGGATTTAGAATTGGGAGTAGGGGCTGGGTATTTTGAATTTTCGGCCAGAGATCTCAAACAGCTTCCCAAACTAAAAAAGGAATCTCAAAATACCATAGACTCAGTATTTTCACCATGTTTGGTTTCCTCACTGGGCTCCTCGGGGATTCAAACATTCTTTCGTATATTGTATTGTATATTATTCATTTTCCAAGACTTGATTACCTGAGAGGGTGGGCACCCAGAGGGGAAGAGGGAGAGGCTGGCTTAATGTGATTTGCCTGAAACCGACAATTTTATTTCTACTTTATCCTTGTAGAAATATTGTGACATAGGTGAGGTGGACAGTGGGTCATCCAGTCATTTTCAAAACTTTGCAGAGAACAAGGCATGGTCCTTCAAGGTTTCTGTCTGAGTCTCTCACAACTCCACTCCACTGATTCTCTTGCAAAACATTTAATAAAAGCGTTCAGGCCTATATCATCCCTTTTTTTGAACTTGTTCATTTTGAAATTCACCAGTATATGGTGTTCTCAGTCCTAAATCTAAACTGCTTTAAAACACAGTGTGACCACCATATCTCTAGGCATCTTCTAAGTCATCCCACACAACTCTGTGGTATTCTCAGCCTGAAAGTCCTTTATTTCAATCTGGGAACATATCTCCTGTGCATAGAGAGTCAATACTACATAGTAAATAATCCATTTAATAACGTTTGGAAAACGAATTCATCAAATACTAAAATATTACTAGATAACCCTACAGCTAAAACATATATTCTGTTGGCAGAAACAGAATTATTCTTACATTTGGAAAGCCTGGTTGTAGTGTACATCAGCTGTCTCCATAATTTCCTTGGCAGGGAACCATCTTGTTTGCCGACCTGACATCAGTCTTGTTTGACAAAAATGAATGGGAGACCCCAAATGTATTTAATCCCAACCATTTCCTGGAGAATGGTCAATTCATGAAGAGAGAAGCTTTTATACCATTTTCTACAGGTGACTGTGGGGAAGGAAATGTTGACATAATTTTTTGGAAGTACTCCCTGCGTACTGAATAAAAGGAATAATTTGGAGCAATGCAGTGAAGTGTGAAGATCTATATCAGAGCAAGCAGGTTCTCCAAATATAGATCACATGCTCTTGCTGTGGATTGGTCACTCCCCATATGCAAGACAACTCAGGATGTACTTTGGACCTTTATGATTAGACTTTTGATGCACCTAAGACACTTATGAGGGTCACTGAGCACTTCTGAGGTATATCAGGTACTTCTAATATCAGGTATTTTGATGTGCATTGGGCATCCCATTACATTTCACACTTACTCATTAGTTTCTGGATGTGCCTTGGGAGTGCCACAATGAGGATTGGTGCACACTGCTCATCAGGGACAAACACGTCAATCTCCACTGGCATTCAATATGAACATTGCCAAACAGCACAATTCTATTTCTCACACGTGTAGGTTGTCTTGTGAAAAAGTAAGTGCCATGGTGAATGTATGATACTACACTTTGGCAATGAAAATGAATGCACAGATATAGGATGGGGAACACATGGCCTGAAAACTGTCCATGAGAAAGGGATCTAAAAGTCTTAGGAGACCACATGCTGAACCTGAGCTAGCATGTATTTATTTATTTATTTATTTATTTACTATATTTATACGTTGCTCTTCTCACCCCGAAGGGGACTCAGAGTGGCTTACAGATTATGGCAAAATTCAAAGCCCCATTATACATACAAATAATAAATATAACTTATCAAATTATAAAACAGTTAAAACATACAAATGCAATAAAACAGATTAAAACATCGTTTCCCAATCCCTCTCCCCCCACAGGCCAAACAAAAGCCTGCTAGCAAAAGTGGTCTTATGCATTATTACCACGGGGTAAAGAGATATAAGGTGCTGGTCTAGAAGGCTAAAGGATTAGGGTACAGGTGCCACAAATTAAACAACAATTCCAGCTGGCTAGAATGAGGGTGTGGCTGCAGGTCTCCCCATGGGTAAGCCCAGGGCTGAGCAAGACAGCAACGCTGGATAACAAATGCTCTGGCCCCAGGGTCTCTCCTGCAGCAGGGCCCAACAAAGCTCTCCCAGGCCTCTAGATCAGACTTTTTATGTTCTCTCTTGGAGGATGCTGGGTCAGCTGACTGGAAAGAGGGTGGAATGAGCATGTGATGCTGGAATGAGCATGTGATGTGGCAACTAGGAAAACCAATGCAATTTTAGGCTGCATTAATAGGAGGAAAGTGCTGAAATCAGGGGAAGTCATAGTCTCACTCATTTAATACTGGACATAAAAATTCAAGATGAATTTGATAAGCTAGAATATGCCCAGAGAAGGATAGCTAAAATGATCAAAGGTTCAAAAACCAAGCCCTATGAAGAATGAATCCAGACAAGACAGAGGCACTCCTGGTCAGTCGAAAGGCCGAACAGGGCATAGGGTTACAGCCTGTGTTAGATGGGGTTACACTCCCCCTGAAGACACAGGTTCGCAGCTTGGGTGTGATCCTGGATTCATCGCTGAGCCTGGAACCCCAGGTTTCGGCGGTGACCAGGGGAGCATTTGCACAACTAAAACTTGTGCGCCAGCTGCGCCCGTACCTTGGGAAGTCTGACTTGGCCACGGTAGTCCACGCTCTGGTTACATCCCGCATAGATTACTGCAACGCGCTCTACGTGGGGTTGCCTTTGAAGACGGCCCGGAAGCTTCAAGTGGTCCAGCGTGCAGCAGCCAGGTTGCTAACAGGAGCGGCGCTTAGGGAGCACACAACTCCTCTGCTGCATCAGGTCCACTGGCTGCCAGTTTGCTACCGGGCCCAATTCAAAGTGCTGGCTTTAGCCTATAAAGCCCTAAACGGTTCTGGCCCAGCCTACCTATCCGAACGCATTTCTTCCTACGAACCCTCCAGGAAGTTAAGATCATCTGAGGAGGCCCTGCTCTCGATCCCGTCTGCTTCGCAAGCACGCTTGGCGGGGACGAGAGACAGGGCCTTCTCTGTGGTAGCCCCTCGGCTGTGGAACTCCCTACCTAGGGATATTAGATCACCCCCCTCCCTCCTGACCTTTCGTAAGAGAGTGAAAACCTGGCTCTTCAAGCAGGCATTCGGAACCCCAGAATAGTCAAGCTTGAGATGGAGAATGACCCAGGAACGGCCAAGACGATGAAACGGATGAGGATTGGAATGAGAGGATATAGCTCTTTTTAAATTGTTATTGCACTGTCTTTTTTGTCTAAATGCACTTAATTGTTTTTGCTTTTGTATTGTATTGATGGCATCAAATTGTGCCAATATGTAGACCGCCCTGAGTCGCCTGCGGGCTGATATGGGCGGGATATAAGTGATGTAAATAAATAAATAAATAAATAATGATTTGGGGGGATGCACATGTTTAGCTTGGAGAAAAGTAGACTCTATGTGGACATGTTTAAATATCCGTCACACTGAAAAGGGGGCAAGCTTGCTTGCTTTTTCTCTGGTGACTAGAACAAGGACCAATGGATTCAAGACTGACATGGCTTTGGAGCACAATACTCCTGACCTCACAATCATGTTAATAAACCAAGTATGGATCGTTGATGTTGCAATCCCAGGTTACAGCAGGATTGAAAAGAAACTACTGGAAAAGCTGACACGTTATGAGGATTTAAAGATCGAATTGCAAAGACTCTGGCACAAGCCAGTAAAGGTGGTCCCAGTGGTGATCGGCACACTGTGTGCAGTGCCTAACGACCTTGGTCTGCACTTAAACACAATCGGCACTGGGATCTGCATGCATCATTCACTGATACATCATACAGTCCTAGACACTTGGGAAGTGTCCAACGTGTGATCCAATACAACAGCCAGCATAGTGATCTTGTTTGCTGTGTACTCATCTTGTTATGTTAATAATAATAATAATAATAATAATAATAATAATAATAATAGCCATCTAATAATAGTAATCTATTTACATTATGTACTATGTAGCACCATAATTCCATTTCTATATAATATATTCTGGCATGGGCCTTCTCTCTTCTTGTCAGTAAGCAACCATTCCTCTTCTGGCTGAAAAGGAAATGGATCTGTCACTTGCAGCAGCTTACTGGTTAGTGGGGTTTAGAAGACTTTCACAGTCCTTACATCTCCTAAACTTGGTGCTATGCAGGAATTATTTATAAGTAGCCATTGGGAATGCATAACTGTAGGCTAAAGATTCGTAATTTCACAGCAGGATTCTAACCGTTCTTTTTAAGATGGATACAGAGATTAATAAATATTTTCTTTCTAATGGAATAAACCTTCAAATAAAGGTCTGTACTTCACAACTCTAGGAAGCATTGTCAAAACTACTCAGCTCTCTGTTTCTCTGAACAGGAAATAGATAAAACAGACATGCACACTACTTTGCAATTTAAAACATATTTTATTGTCTGGTTTAGAAAAAGCCCTTTTCCAAGTGTATTGCTGTCACTCTACCTTCTCATAAAACCCCATCTGAAGCTATTTTCTCCTTTACTTCCAGGAAAGAGAGCCTGTCCTGGAGAGCAGATGGCTAAAATGGAACTTTTCATTATTTTCACTACCCTACTTCAGAAGTTCACTTTCCAGGCTCCAAAGGGTGTGAAGCTCAGCCTTGACTCCAAGACAGGGCATGTCCTGAAACCAAAGCCATACCGAATATGTGCCATCTCTCGTTAAAGCAAAATAGCATTGCCAGTTCAGGTGACCTGATTTATTTGTTCCATTGGTTGCATTAGTTGTCCTGGTATTGTTGAGCCACAATATCCCCCCCTCCCCCCAAGATTTCTAGTTCACGAAGGGCTCAGAAATAAATATATGGTTTTCTTTCTTCTCTTTTTTTAAAGAAAAAGACCCTTTCCAGACTTCTGCAAATTCAAAGCATCAGAATATTGAGACCAAACTAGCAGCATCAGTAGCTGTAAACACTTTAACCCTATCATATCTAATCCTTTAATAAATTGTATCTATTTTTCATGACTTTCTGTGTAACTTGTATCTTTCTGTAAAAGGCAAAAGAAATCAGAGTATAGTGGGAAAGGGATGGAAGCAAGTAGGGGATGAGGATGATTATATATGAAATTCTTTATCTCTTTTTTGTTTGAAGATTTTATGCAAATTGCTGTGTTTGCATCCTTTTTTGGAAAACCATAATAAACCTCTGTGGTTTGATTTCAACTTGGTGAGTTGGTTTCCCTGTCCTGGCCTATCTGGTTTGGCATACACTTACCAGACATGGATCCACTTATCTGTAGTCAAAGTTATCTGCTACACTGGCATAACCATTTGTCCAATATCTAATCAGATCTCATATTGACCAAATCATTGCTTTTGATATAACATGAATACTTTTATTTCTAGCATCATTTTTTGTCTGTACCTGATAAGCTAACCAGTCTCTAATATCAGAAGATATTTCACATCCAGACTGTGTCACAGTGACTTAAGAAGGATAACCCAAGCTGCAATCTCTCACTTATCTTCTAAATCTGTAAAATCTCAGTCTGGAATGGGATTATGAACTACATTCCATCCATAGAAAAATCAACATGGAGATGTATTTGTTATTCTAAGGCAAAGTGTCCATAATGTATTCTCATATACTGCAAGATTAAGAAAACCCATGATCTGCTGTGTAAACTCTCTTGCGGGAAATAGACTCCAGTGGTGAAATCTAAGCATGATACAACAATAGTACTTTATTTTTAGAATGCTTCATTTTATACATTCAAATTCAAATTGTAGGTAGTATTGTGGTAGGGGATGAAGACATACTGTATTTATTCGAGTTTAATGCACCATCTGTTCTAATGTGAACCTCAATATTCAATTTTCAAAACCTTGAAACTAAAAAAGTATTTGCTGTTGAATGTAATGTGCAGTGGCAAAAAGTGCACTTTTTGTAATTTGGCCAAAAAAGGTGTGCAAAGGAAAAGTGCTGGAACACTAAAAGTAAAAGTGCTAGAACTCCAAAGCTTCCAGTAATTGAAAGGAAAACCTTGGGGCACATCAATAACTTAAGATTTGGCTGGCATGCTGTGAAAAACCCGTATCTTTAGCAGCCAGAAAGTGGGCCTAGCAAAGCCTGTCAGCCTGAACAGTTAGAATGTGGGCCTAGCAAAGCCCTGGCGGCCATCTTAGGATAGGGAAACAGGGAGACGCCATCTTAGGTCAGGTTTTCTTAGAGGGGGCATGTCCTAGTTCAGTAAGCAAAGAGTAGATGGCCAGGATTGGTTAGGAATAGGGGTGGAGCCTAATATTCAAATAGAGGATAAAAGTGTACTTTTTGAATTTGAGGCTTAGGGAAGACTGTAGATATGGAAAATTGGGAATAATTATGGAAATAGCTGGTTCTGTAGAGATAACATATATAACATCTTCTATAGAAGTTATATAACACTTGAATTATTGGCCAAAATTGATAAAACCAAAGGCAGGGGTGGGGTGGGGATGTTGGAGATACAAAATAGAGAAAGGTACTTTCTTCCATGTTTGGTGGACCTGTAAGATGGCATTTTTTTTTTGAAAACATGAGAAAAGAAACTAATAAAATGGTTTCTAAAAAGGTTAAGAAAAACCCAGAAATGTACCTATTGGGTATGTTTCAAGAGATAATTGGTAAAAAAAAATGTAGAGATTTGCCAATATAGTTTTGTGGCAGCAAGAATTACAATAACAAAATCTTAAAAGGGGGAAAAAGAACTACTTATTAAGAAATGGAGAAGAAAATTAGTTGAGTATATTCAAATGGCCAAAATCTCCAATGGCATGGGAGGAAACAATGGAGAGTTTGCTAGAAAATTGAGACTTGTTTTGGGTATTTAAAAAAGAAAACAAAAATAGATTTTGAAATAATACCACAGGGAATTTATTAGCATAATAAACCAAATCATGCATTTTTGTCTCTGATTGAGCAACCACAACCTGCACTAGCATTACCTTTGTTCTAATACTTTCAGGGCATATAGTTCAGCTTTTGCATTCCCTTTTTAAACCCCAGCTACTCCTTGCCTCTCATTATGGATAGTTCTGCCTCCAACACTGTAGTAAAAAACAAAAAACCTCTATTATTGAGATGGCTTATCCTTCAATCACTATCTTTCCTGTATTCTGATCAAACCAAAGAAGCACATGGTTTCTATGCAGCACCTTGCAGTCAAAAGTAGCATTATTTTGAGCTGCTCAACACTGAACCATCAAGGAGCCAGTATTGACTGGGTCATTATGTGGACATGACTTTCTTGTGTTTGGGCAGCAAGTGAAGGCAGCTGAGGCTGCAGGCATGTAGTATAGATATGTGGAGCCTCATCAACCAAGGACGAAGAGGACGATAATCCAAGCTATCATCCAAAATAGATAAGCAAAATTTCCACATTTCTTATGAAAATATTACCTGCAAATGGGATCTGATAGTTCTTACTTTCAGAAAATGAATGAATGTCATCAATAATCCAGAAAAATATATATCCTGGAATAGGAGTTAATCATTGCTCTGTGAAATAATTTATTAGAAATAACAGGAGGGGTACTTATACTTTTTACATTGGAAGAAAAGCTCATGGAGGAAAATAGCTGCAAATAACTAGTACATTACAAATCCCTTATCCGCAAATTTAAGATCAATGGTTTCAATAACCCATACTCCCAAAAACACAGCCATCACTCTCTGAAATATTTGTGGGCTTCTCTAGGTCTATAGTAGGCTTCTGACCAAGTGCAGCTGAAATATAGAGTTCACTTCTATTCACTGTTCCAAGTATCCACGACCAGTCATGGAATGTATCCCCACTATATGGGCATCATACTGAAGCTGCATTGAAATCATTTTCTGTTTGTCATTATAAAGGTATAATTAAATCACATTACATTGAAAGGTCATTTCCACAGTTTTTGTAGTTCTGGAAGTTCTAAATGGTGAAGCAGGGATATCACATGGTTAAAATGCTAACTTGTATAATGTCCTTTCTTACTGCCTTCTGCTCTGATGTGAGTGTTAGAAAATTCTAGCATTCTTTCCTCACTACATATCTTGCAGAGCCCCTGGTGGCATAGTGGGTTAAAGCGCTGAGCGCTGAACTTGCTGACCAAAAGGTTGGCGGTTCGAATCCGAGGAGCAGGGTAAGTTTGACTGTTAGGCCCAGCTTCTGCCAACCTAACAGTTTGAAAACATGCAAATGTGAGATCAATAGGTACCGCTTGTGCAGGAAGGTAATGGCGCTTCATGTAGTCATGCTGGCCACATGACCTTGGAGGTGTCTATGGACAATGCTGGCACTTCATCTTAGAGACGGAGGTGAGCACCATCCCCTAGAATCAAACATGACTAGACTTAATGTCAAGGGGAAACCTTTTTTACATATCTTGCATGTCAAAACCTTCAGTTTATTTCTCTTATCTAAACTCTTCTCCGCCTGACTGATTCCATGGATGCTTCTCTTGCTCCATTCCCTATCCAGCACTGTCTCCAGTATCGTGGACCCCAGGGATGCTTCTGTGTCATAGGTGGCTCTTGCAATTATGATGGAGCTACCAGTTCTCACTATCCTTTTAAATGCATGGTCATAAATGCCTTGCAGGTAGACAAGTCTTTTGGTCATATGAAGTCCCCCCTTCACAGACTTCTCTCCTATAGATATATTTTTCTGATAAGGAGCTTCCGGTGGTGCAATTGGTTAAAACCCTTGTGCCGGCAGGTCTGCTGACCAACAGGTCGGCGGTTCAAATCCAGGGAGTGGGGTGAGCTCCCATCTATCAACTCTAACTTCCCATGCAGGGACATGAGAGAAGCCTCCCACAGGGTGGTAAAAATCAAACATCTGGGTGTCCCCTGGGCAAAGTCCTTGCAGCTGGCCAATTCTCTCACACCAGAAGTGACTTGCAGTTTCTCAAGTTGCTCCTGACATGACAAAAATATCTCTGATCCTTTTGAAGCTCCAGACTTGCTTCAGTCTTTCATCAAAAGGTGCTGAGTAAAAAAATGAAGATTTACCATTATTTTTAAAAAATACAACTAAGAAGTAAAAAGGTTAAAAAGAAATGGAAATTACAACAATATTATCATGCAAGTATAACAGTAACCAACTATTTTGGACCTGAGAAACAACCTATTTCATTAAACACATTTGAAAGGGCAGAAACATGTTTTTTTTAGATTTGGCAGGAATGGATTAAGCTCTTTCAACTCTTTATTTAAAAAAGGGGATGATTTCTTTTTTGATAAGAGTTAAAAGACAGCACTCACACTGACACATGGATAAGTTGCCCTAAGTTTTTGGGGTTGGGGTTTGGACTATAATTTCTAGATTTATACACATACATCTGTATTTTATCTGCCCAAAGTAAGCCTGCAGGATATATATCTATTACATCTTTTGTATCCTTTTCTCTTTGCTTTTTTCCAGAACATTAAGCCTAGACCAGTCATACCACTAAAATTGTCAGTTACAGAAAGATGTTTTTTCATCTTGTTGTAGGTCTAGCCATATATGAACACATGGAATTGATCTGGGGGCAGGATATCTGCTCCTAGAACTTTCCATTAAAAATTGAATTTACAGATAGAAGATCCTGGCTCACTATATGTAGTTATTTTTAGAGTGACATTTTTAAAATGTAGGTATCTTGCATGGGCATTCATATCCAAGAGAATTTCCAATTTACACTTGCTGCAGGTATAACTGGTGAAACATTGTGCATAATTGTGCAGCTGACCAC